ACTGTATATGACTGGAAGCCTATAGACCCCTTCAATGTTTACAAACACAGGCCCTCGATGACATCCGGTTTTGTCCACCCACGTCCCTCAAAACCATCAGTGGACAACAAGAGCTTTAGAAAGTGGAACGCTGATTTTGTACAGTTTCCTTCCCTTATTTGGCAAAACATATTGAAATAAATATTCTTTTGAGTTCCATAAGAACGGTAAAACATTCTCTTGTACTTTACGCACGTTCCTTTTATGTGAAAAACGATAGAGAGACTTGTCTAACCCCGGAAAAGAACTTCAAAACGCGCTTTAAATTTTGACCTAAAGTGGTGCACGGTAAACGAGGTGACACCGGAATCTGTTTGGGGTACAACGCTTGCAAACTTGAAACCGTCGATAAAAAGACGGCGATCACATATGTTAGAGGCACGTGTTGTCAAATTGTTACAACCGGACTGGGCTGCGACCTGCAAGTTGTCCAGCTGGGCTTAACGCATTTCTAGAACACCAGCAAAGTCAAAGTCAGCAAAGTCATCCTTGTGCTTGTTGATACCCCTGGAGCACTGCCCGAATAAGAAAAGAACACACTTAACTATTCGTTGAAATTAAATGGACCATCGGCTCTCGATATTTTGTTATCGGTTTTTTTTGTTGCGTTAATTAAAAGAAAGGTCGCTACTACGAAGGTAGTTAACATTGCTTCGGCAATACGCAGGGACCTGTCTTTTTTTACATTCATGCCTTTTATTTTGTTATTTATAGCGCAGCGAGTAAAACTAATATTTCTGAACTGTGAAATGCTCGTTCCAGCTCCAAAGATAGCAGCCATAACCAAGGTTTAGGATACTCGTGCCGTTATATGCATTCAACTCGAAGAAGTTGTTGAAGATGTGACAGTTGCATCACCTACACGACAGTTCTTACAAAAAAAAAAGCTCCATGTTTTTTAAGGGGAGATGAAACAGCTCCATGACAAAAATCTGCCGCAGAGAAATGGTAGGGTGAACTGAAAGAGCGTGGCTTTACTCCCAAGCTATAGTAAAGAATATCATATATCAAAAGCTCTTGTCTTAGAGGGGAGGAGGGTGTTCACTGCAGCCTCCCCTCATACATAGAGCAGCTCCCTCAGAGGGCCCGAAAACGCCAGAGAAGCACGCATCCGTCCGAGTTTCATATGTCTGCGTTGACGATGCACTCCCATTATCCGTCGGCTTATGGGCTTATGAATACGCTCGAAGTCAAATATCGAGCACTGTCAGCAGAGCGCACTATATGAGAACAGCGCATAGATTCATGAAACGAAAAAGGCTCAATTAGTAGCCAACTCACTCTTACGCAAAAGCTTGCCCATAAAGTTTCATACAATAATACCTAGAGAGAAATCTGGCGCCGTGATCGTGTAGCCCCATGGTAATTATGAGAAGTACAGGCTTCGGATTGGATAGGGTTAGCTAGCGAACTGTCTACAAACCTTTTTTCTACAGTTTCAGATTCGTTCTTCGCGCAGCGTGGGTAGTGGAGGGCGCTGAAAAGCGCTGAAGCAGTGCTTTTGTTGTTCGAAGAGGCTGAATACCACTAGGTCTCTTGTTTAGCTGTGATGTTCGAGCTTTAGGAGTCGTATTTGACAGTTTAAACGAAGGGTTCTCCACTCACCGCTGCGCATAGTTGTAGGGTTTCATGCCAGTGCAGGATATCGCATCAAGTTCATGTTTTTTCACGAGCACGTCTTGCCTAAGCTCATTTAAGTCGACTGCGAAACGGCGACGAAGCGAAGTAGACGCACTGTCACGCTCCGCTAATTCGGCTTCATAACAGAACCAGAGATGCGTCGGGGGCAGACCACTTAGACCGACGCACCTAGCGTCGCAGAAGAAGAAACGTTAAGTGTTTCTCACTTAATACTGTACTGTTATTTCCATAAATAGATAATGCGTACTTTCGAGAGCAAAACAAGCATGCTTGTTTGAGTGTTGTAAAGAAAAATTCATTACATCTTAATGCCAAATCTGGAACGCAATGGCAGAGCGATGCATACCCTGGTAGTTAAATTTGCCCAGGTTTCACTTTTGTCGCCTCGTAACAAAAACGTTTTGCAATAAAGTTTGCGTGCAAATAAATGACGTAAGTTTCAATGAAATATAAGTTCATATCACTTTGTTTTACACTCAGAAAAAAAAAAAGCATCGTGAATCTCAAGAATATAATTCATCCGAACCAGATCCGAAGCCTGTACTTCCCGTAATTCCCATGGGGCTACAAGCGCCGCTGAAGGAGCCCGCGTAGACACTAGCGCCAGATTCACCCCTATAGCTATCATTGTGTGAAACTCTATGAGCTTGCCCAATGTTGCACAGAGACTCCGTACTGTGCGTTCATTGTTGATGACAAAAAAAAAAGGAAACATCTTGAGATTGTGAGCGACTACTGTAGTCAGATATGAGGACTTTGGGTATGGAATGCATGATGATAAACTGCATGTGCATACGCTCGTTGACTTACGACTTAGGTTGTCAATAGTGTATTTTAAACGCAAAACATTTCTTAGCAAACTTGGGCGAAATTAACCGTATCTATCTATCTATCTATCTATCTATCTATCTATCTATCTATCTATCTATCTATCTATCTATCTATCTATCTATCTATCTATCTATCTATCTATCTATCTATCTATCTATCTAGCTAGCTAGCTAGCTAGCTAGCTATCTGTCTATTAATCTATCTACCTATCTATCTATCTATCTGTCCGCTTACGACTTTTACCTTTCCTGGCCATTTCAAAAAATGGTATCTATACCAAAATTGGCATGACATAACACGACTGTATGACGAGCACAAGTGACTATAGTGATAACATAAAAATCATGACATATATCTCATGAATGTCATGATTTACATTTCACGGTCTTTCTGCTCTTGCGGTGGTTTAGTTCAAATGACATATTGCAAATGTGGTATGCTATGACATGACTGCATGGCGAACGTAAGCGACAGACCCTAACGTCTAATTCATGACATGCATGTCAATTAAATCATGACTACACGCCACGCTCATAGTGTGTTCACGGTCGTTTCGCTAGCTTCACGTACACCAAATTTCGTATTACGGGACGTGAATGGGTTGAATGGGTGACAAAGGTGTAGGACTGGTGCAAACATGATATTCATGAGATGCGTGTAACGTAAGAGCATGTCTACATGCCACGCTCATGATGCGCTCGCGGCCGTTCCGCTGGCTTCACATATACCAAATTTGGCATTACGTGACGTGAATGGACGACAATCTCAAATGCCGGGCGCAAACATGATAATCATGACATAGAAGTCATGTGCAGCATAATTTCGTCTTTCTTCTAACAGCGTGCTGATTTTAAAGTGACATATCAACCTTCCTCATTCGTGCTTCGCATATCATAGATTCCTACTGTACGTAGGATCAGCCTTTATTTTTTCAATATATTCATTGGCAGGAGCTGAGCGTTCCTAGTTAACGACATTGTATCGAGAAACTGCAGATAGAAACTATTCCAATAGCATCGACTGCAAGATGAATGCCGATAATTGAAGCACGCGTATGCTAAATCAAACTACTGGTTTCGAAGGTATTAAGCTTGTCTTGAGAAAAGTAATGACTCTCGATCAAAGCCTTGATGAGAATATCTTTCTCGATGAGCATGTCCGTATGTGTGATGTTTGGGACACACATTCGCATACCACGTAACTGCATAAGGGTAAGATCCTGTCATACGAACGAAATAAACAGGAAAATGAGTGACGAGAATGCGAGGTAGGCTCTCACGAGTATGCTTCTTTGTAAAAGCCAGTGTTACATACCCTTATTCGGTTTGCGTGCTTGCAAGAAAAACGCCAGAAGAAACATAATAAAGTCGACTGTATTGTTGCCTATTATTTGGCTTCTTATTCTAGAGAACTTTTCCTTAAGTGCCCACCATAACCGCTAAAAACCACGGCGGCAAGATGCAGCGGACACGCTTTGGTTCCCGTGTCTTGCCTATAGCAAGATGGCTGCCGCCCGCGCGGCGCGGGTTCACTTTGGTGTATATAGGCGCCCCTTTGGTGTGTACCTGCGACCTCCACTCCAGCAAGACTTATTAGATGCGTAGCAGCTCTTTGACTAGACCTGTGTAACGCTGTCCCTCCATCCGCACCACGCACCCTTGGCCGCAGGTGTTTGGGCGGTGCCAAATAGGTCACGCCTTCAATCGCAGTGTAGGCGCGTTGTCATCACTCTCTTCCTAGTCTGTCGCCGCTCACCGCGTGTCATCTCGCTCGCTTTACCCTCTCCACCGCTCGGAGCGTTCGAACGCACATCGAGCGAACAGTCTTTCTGCGATTAAACTTACAGGAGACCCAACCCACCTCCCGTGTCTTTGCGTTTAAAACAAACATTCACTCGAGTAAACGCTACACCGAGTTTCGCTTCAAACTATTTTTTCAGCACCCGCGTCGACGCCCGTTTCAGCCGGGTCAACGCCGTGCGCACCGCTGCTGCTTCGCATTCCATCAGGCTTCGGGGACATGGTTCATAATTTTTCGAACCTCCTTGCGTATGTCGGAGCGGGCATTTGTGCATATCTTCAGCGCCATTTTATAATGTCTCGCTTAATAAAAAATTACAACACAATCACCAACCATCCACATGCTTCGCACAACATCAATTTTCAAGGTACGTGGGATCTGCCGAATTTTATTATTATTATTATTATTATTACATGCAAATGCATAATTTTAAAATTATGCGATTTTAAATGAGACATATGCATAAAAACAAAATATCCGCTTTGCAAAATATACCCCCTTATGGTCGGTATTTATGGATTCACGCTACTGCTAGATTATACTAAGATTTCGATTGGGCAGATAGTAAATAGCCATGAAGCTTCGAAACAGCGACATTGACATTCGAGCAACCACTTGTCACGGTTCCGCCTCTTTGAATTCATTAGGGAATTCGTAGGGGGTTTGGGGCCGAAATGAGCACTTCTTACCGAGGTCACAGATCATGTCGTCGTCGTGAAGTTCCGCGACCGCCTTGCCTTTGAGAGCAGCCGGCATGCTGCAGCGAGTGAAGAGGCCCAGCCGTGGGTGACGCCGCAACCAAGATGCCAGCCAGGACAAGCGGCAGTCGCACGACAGTGGGTTTTCCGACAGCCGCCTGCGCGAGAGTCGTCACTCATGCCACACCACCCCAAACACACAGCGGCTGTCCGAACTAAATCAAACAGCCATGACTATGAGGCATGCAGCTGGGAGTTTGTTAAGAGGGTTCCTTAAGGAGCACAAGTATACATGGACGTTCCAGCATAGCGCCTAGTCAAAATGCACATCCCGAGGCCGGCAACCGAACACCCATTCTCAAGCTCCAACACCACTCAACCCGCTCCCCCCCCCCCCCCAATTTTTTTGTCGTGGGTTCCATCACACTATCGCTGCCTGTCTTTTTCAGCGTATTGTAGACCACGTTGTAACAAATGTGGCGCCTGACGCCTGAATTGTGAGTGGTTTTGAAGCGAGGTATTTTCTGTTGTTCTTTACAACATTCCACGCCCCTCCCTATTCTCATTAGTTAGAAGAGAATTCGTGAAACGACGAGTATTTTTGACCCGGCAAGAGTTGTTCGGTGAGCCGCCCCACGAACTACAAGGGAGATTGCTTGCACCCCTTCAACAAGAATAGGGCCTACCATACTAGGGTGGCTAGAATATTCCAGCCGTCTTACCGCACATGCGGAAAAAGTGGTGGTGGTAGGGATAAAAAGAAGAAAAAGGCGTCTCATTTCTGCAGACCAGTAGGGAGCACGGCACAGCACTTGTGCGGAAAGAGTCAGCTCGCAAGCGCACAGAAGAAAGAAAACGGAATAGAGAGAAGCCTTTCATATAGACATCCGACCCACGCAAGCAAAAAAAAAAAAATCCAGAGGCAAGATAGTAGCCAGCGCATCTACCATGCTTTGCATCTGGTCACAAAACTTCGCCCGAAGAAACGTTTCCCGAAGCTTTATGCCGAGACACAAGCTACCGCTAGGGTCGCCGCGGTCAACATGGGAGCATACGTGCGCGCGCGCTGCACTCAACTGTGTCGGCTCGAGGCAATGGTTCATCTTGCATCCTACCACTGATACTTCACCTGACATACAATGTGCTTTTTGAATACGCATATGAAGAGCTTATTTCCGCCTTTTCTTTTTTTATTGCGATAGTAATTATATGAACACTCTCACCTGTACTTTGCCGGCGGCGTCGATGTCATGCACAATGTATGTATACGTATCTATATATTTAAAAACGCAAGAAAGAAAAGAATCCAGAAAAAAAGAACACTCCAGCGCACGGAATCGAACGTTGGACCAATGAGTCGTGAAAGCTAGGCTTTAACCACTAAGCCACCCCCGGAGCTTTTCTTTTCTTTATTGCCTTCTTGACTACAGGTCAAGCTAATATGACAATCACTATCACACGTGTTTCATGCGTAATAACTCGTCAAACAAAGATATTACATCTTCATTACAGTCGGTAGTCTTATACAACTCGCACTTTTATAACAGCTTCCACGAAACACTCATTAACAGATAGAACTCTCACATCACAGTGTCTGTACGATAGCATACTACGCCAAACGGAGCACATCATTCACCGTTCCAACGGCAAGCTACTTATATCTACCACTTACCGCTGTTCATGAGCATCTCGGCAGGTAATCGTGTTTTCAGCATTACCAGCAAGATGGTGGAATGAGCGCGTGTCGCCACATCGTGCGGCGGCGCCCGCTCTAATCTCCTACTCGTACTTTGCCCATCTTAGAGAAGGGGAGCGACGCTCCCTCACGCGCCCTAATCTCGCGGCAGCGAGGAGGGTAAGAGCGTACACCTTGCCGGGCCTCGGGCTTTACCTTGAACGATTCTGCAGTACTTACCGGGTGCGCAAAGGTCACTGCAATCATTGCAGTCTCCGTTTGCGAAAAGCGTGCGCTTTTCAAACACAGCAATGTAACGAGAGAGACGCTTATTCACGTGCATCCGTACCTGCGAGTACGTTTCGTGCGTCATTTATGCGTGATAAACACGGGGCATGTTTCGATCTGCATTCCGTTTTGCGCGTGACCTTTCAATTTGTTGCTATCGCGTTCATTGCTTCGCCTTTCTGGCAAAGCTGTCACATTCTTTTTTTTTATTACCAAGGCTGTACATGTTCTTCCAGCGTGGTTTCTTACCTCAGGATGTGGAGCACGAGATTTTTAGGGGCGAAGCTCCTTAAGGCGTGACCTGTGCGTCCCCTGTATGTAGCCACCTCTCGTTTAGTTCTTGCAGTGTTCACTAGATGACGGTACTTGCAGCTTAAGGTGAATAGATGCAACATGTTATAAACTAGACGGTGGTACTTGTAGTTGATGATGAAAGATGCGAGATGTTATACAATAGGAATGATGTCACATGTGGCGCGTGTCATTGGTGGACAGCAATCGTTCGATTTAGGTCGGCAACGTTCGCTAGAGGGAGCGTTGTAATAAAATCGAGTGGGCAAAATGTACGGAGGATTCATCGTTTACCAGGTTTACCTCCGGAGCTTCGCCCATTCATCATCATTCACTTCGTGGATGTGGCAGCACTTTTTTTTTATTTAGCCACAGTATATTTACTTAGAGTTGTGACACTCCACAAGTCTGACAATTTCACCAACTCGCAAAATCAAGTCTCACGGAAAACGTTGAGCCAGTGCCGATCGCACTATTTACAATCAGACGCCTCACGCCGCGGGAGTTTGATGCGGCCATATAACATGAAAAGTTATACATTATTGCGTTTGCAGTTCGTAAAACTAATTTCACTGCGCTGCAGCCTATTATAACACTAGTTACTTGGACTGCTTAGACAGGCTACGTTGGCCCTGTGCAACGGAACGAATTGCTTGGTGAAGACTGCACAAGAAAGACTTCATCAAGTGAAACGAAGCCATGCACTAATATAGGAATTTCAAGAAAGACGAGAAAAGACTGGGAAGGCTAGCCGTGCTAAGCACTGGCTGGCTAGAAAAAAGAATGTAAGGCGACCAAAGCAAGCATTTTCGAACGGACATAAATCATGCCATGTACTTTCGATAAAGCCAATCACTTCCGTGAGATTCATCATCATCATCATCATCATCATCATCATCATCATCATCAGTCTGACTACGTCCACTGCAGGAAAAATGTCTCTCCCATGTTCCGCCAGCCAACTCGGTCCTCTGCTTGCTGATGCCAATTTATACCCGCAAACTTCTTAATCTCATCTGCCCACCTAACCTTCTGTCTCCCCCTAACCGGCTTGCCATCTCTAGGAATCCAGTTAGTTACCCTTAATGACCAGCGGTTATTCTGTCTATGTACTACATGCCCGGCCCATGTCCATTTCCTCTTCTTGATTTCAACTATGATATCCTTAACCCGGTTTGTTCCCTAATCCACTTTGTTCTCTTCTTGTCTCTTAAGGTTGCACCTACCATTTCCTTTCCATTGCTCGCTGCGTCTTCCTCAATTCAGGCTGAACACTCTTTGTAAGTCTCCAGGTTTCTGCTCCGTAGCTAAGTACCGGCAAGATGCAGCTGTTATATACCTTCCTCTCGAGGAATAGTGCCAATCTACCTGTCATGATTTGAGAGTGCTTGCCAAATGTGCTCCACCCCATTATTATTCTTCTAGTTATTTCAATCTCGTGGTTCGTCTCCGCTGTTATTACCTGCCCTAAGTAGACATAATCTTTTACAACTTGAAGTGCATTATTACCTATCTCGAAGCGCTGCTCCTTTTCGAGGTTGTTGTACATTACTTTCGTTTTCTGCCGATTCATTTTAAGACCCACCTTTCTGCTCTCCTTGTCTAACTCCGTAATCATGAGTTGCAATTCGTCCCCTGAGTTACTCAGCAATGCAATGTCATCGGCGAAGCACAGGTTACTAAGGTACTCTCCATTAACTCTTATGCCTAACTGTTCCCATTCTAGGCCTCTGAAAACCTCCTGTGAGCACGAGGTAAATAACATTGGGGAGATTGTATTCCCCTACCTTACACCCTTTTTGATTAATATTCTGCTGCTTTCTTTAAGAAGCACTATGGTATCAGTTGATCCCCTGTATATTTGTTCCAGGATGTTTATATATGCTTCATCGACCCCTTCATTACGTAGCGTCTGCATGACTGCTGATATTTCTACTGAATCAAACGCCTTCTTCCAATCTATGAAGGCTATGGATAGTGGTTGGCTATATTCTGAGCATTTCTCTATTACCTGATTGATAGTATGAATGTGTTCGATTGTTGAGTAGCCTGTTTGAAATCCTGCATGTTCATTTGGTTGATTGAATTCTAATATTTTCTTTATTCTGTTAGCAATTACCTTTGTAAATAGCTTGTATACTACGGAGAGCATGCTGATCGGCCTGTAATTATTTAAGTCCTTGTCATCTTCTTTCTTACGTATTAAGATGATGTTAGCATTCTTCCGATTTTCCGGTACTCTTTCCGTCAGGAGACACCTCGTAAACAGGGTGACTAGTTTTTCTAACACAATCTGTTCTCCATCTTTATGCAGATCTGATGTTACCTGATCGTCACCTTCAGCTTTACCTCTTTGCATGCTCTCCAAACCTTTTCTGACATTTTCTATCATTACTGGTGGGGTGTCATCTGGGTTACTGCTAGTTCTTATATTAAGGTCGTCGTTGTGCTGGCTGCTATACAGATCTCTGTAAAACTCATCCGCTAATTTTACTATCCAATCCATTATGGTAGTTACATTGCCTTCCTTGTTCCTTAGTGCGTACATCTGGTTTTTGCCTATGTCAAGTTTTCTCTTCACTGCTTTGACACTTCCTCCGTTCTTCAGAGTGCGTTCAATTCTCTCCATGTTATACCCTCTTACATCGGATACCGTACGCTTATTAATCAACTTCGAAAGCTCTACCAGCTCTATTTTGTCTGTTGTACTTGAGGCTTTCATGCTTTGACGCTTCTTAATGAAATTCTCCCTGTCCACTTACGGTTCCCTCGCTTTCAGTAGAAGGTATTCAAAATGCATAAATTATTGCGTTCTGCAATTTCTACTAGTAGCTCCCGTCTGGCATTTCTAGTACCGATGCCATAATCTCCTACTGCCTGGTCTCCAGCCTGTTTGTTCCCTACTTTTGCATTAAGTCCCCCATCAGTATAGTATTCTGTGTTTTTGCCTTACTGATTGCGATTCCACGTCTTCATAGAAGCTTTCAACTGAAGCATCACCATGGCTGGACGTAGGCGCATAAGCCTGTACCACCATAATCTTGTATCTATTATTGACTTTAATTACGATATCTACGACCTTTTCATTAATGCTATAGTATTCCTCTATGTTGCCAGCTATGTTTCTGTGGATAATGAGCCCCACTCCCAGTTCTCTTCTGTCAGCCGAGCCCCGATAGCAAAGGACGTGCCTATTCTGTAGCACTGTATAGGCCTCATCTGTCCTCCTAACCTCACTGAGCCTTATTACATCCTATTTAATTGCCTCTAGCTCTTCGAATAGTACAGCTAGACTTGCCTCACTAGATAAGGGTCTAGTGTTAAACGTTGTCAGGTTCAGGTTTCACTCGCGGCCTGTCCGGATCCAGAGATTCTTAGCACCCTCTGCTGCGTTGCAGATCTGACCGCCGCCATGGTCAGTTGCTTCACAGCCGCTGAGGACTGAGGGCCGTGAGTTAATTGACGTACGCATGTGGGAAGTAGTGGCCAGATACTGCACCAGGGTGGCCAATCCTTCTCTGGTGAGGGATTGCGTTACCGGCGGTGGTGGTCACCGTTGAGCCGGCACCCCAGGCCTCTTAATAAAGTTCCATCTTCACGCGGACTTTTTTTTAATCCGGTTGGGAGCTGCGCGGCACTGGGATTCGAACCACGGGCCTCTTGCATGCGAGGCTGATGTTCTAACCACTACGCCATCGCTGCCGTGATAATATGCTAAACTATATGCAAAAGTGTTCTTATTACTACATGCAACATGTAGTTCCCCAATGGTGTCTATCTTCCCATTTGTTCATACGGAATAGAAAAACGTTGTCCTGCAGGACGCGCTTAGCGGAAGTCTCCCCCGTAGGGACCGACAGGGAATATCTAGCGGCCGCTTCGTGCTGGACGGTGGTCGGCGAGATTTTAGGGACTTCTCCCACTTGTCTACACTTCCAGAGCATGTGTGCGGGTGTCCGCCCCAGGGGCAAGTGTCGCTTGGTTCGGGATAAAAAACGTGAAACTTGGCGGAGTCTGCCAACATGGGCGTATGTAGTAAGCGTATGGTTGGCGCCTGCGGCCTCTTAGGCTTTGGATGTGGAAGAGGTATCTTGCTCAATAAATAAGAACTTATTGTTTCGAAATTATTTAAAGAATCAAAAATCATTTTCTTCCTTAAAACGAAAAAACGTTGCGCTAAAACTTGCCACATAAGAAGTATCTACTTCTTTTCGATGAAACGCTGATTTCATTTGGAGGCCCACATGCTCTAAATTACATCGCAATGAGGTACAAAATCATTATTTTCTCAAATTGGTGACTTTTCTTCTAAAACTTACTAGCTTCAATATTAAAATATCTTCACCACAGGATATAACCTTTGTAGAGTAACTATTCATTACTCGGATATTCATTCATAATGAAATGTTACAAGGAAAACATGCAAACATACAAAAGTGTGGCAAATTTTTCGAATGACGTACAAGGCACAAAAATTGCAGTAACATTATTCAGCTTCCAACACCTTGAAACAAACACCTTTTGCTCAATCAGTAAACCGAATTCAGCATGTAAACTACAAACAATACTCTCAATAATTTTTCAGACATGCAACATTCCGCAAAACTCGGAAGCCTTGCACGTTGGCAAACTTTTTTTCGCTTGGAGCTGTTTCGAACTTGTTCATTCAGGAAGATTTTGTAATTGTACATTCGTGTTTGTCATGGAATGACTAAAGTAAAGGCTCTGAAAGGACACACGTACCTTTCCGTGTGCGTTCTTTATTGCCCATATTATTGCTGCAGAACAAATTGTTATAGAAAGCATTTCTGTGTAACGAGATTATACATAGGAAAAAAAGTCACAGCTTTGCCGCAAGGACGAAGAAATGAATGCGATAACAACAAATTGGAACGTCACGTGAAGAATGGCAAGAAGATCGAAACGAGCCCCGCGTTTCTCACGCACCAATGACACACAAAACGTACTCACAGGTACAGATGAACGTGAATAAGTGTCTCAGTTGTTACTTCGCTGTGCCTGAAAAGCGCGCCTTTTTCGCAAACGGAGACTGCGGAGCAAGTGCAGTAACCATTGTGCGCCCGGTGACTACAACAATATCGTTCGGGTGAAAGCCCAATGCGTAATTGATTGATTGATATGTGGGGTTTAACGTCCCAAAACCACCTTATGATTATGAGAGACGCCGTAGTGGAGGGCTCCGGAAATTTCGACCACCTGGGGTTCTTTAACATGCACCCAAATCTGAGCACACGGGCCTACAACATTTCCGCCTCCATAGGAAATGCAGCCGCCGCAGCCGGGATTTGAACCCGCGACCTGTGGGTCAGCAGCCGAGTACCTTAGCCACTAGACCACCACGGGCCCAATGCGTAATATTCTCCCCACCATGAGATAAGCGCGCGCGTGCGTAAGCGTTTACCCCCCCCCCCCTCACCCTCTGCGGGGCTAAGTTCACTTGGGAGATCAACGCATGAGCCCGCTTCGCCACGTGGTAACGATTTGGCGACGCGACATCATTGCGCCATCTCGCTGGTAATGCTGAAAACACGATAGTTCCGCCGAGATGGGCATCGCCAGCGGTAAGTGGTAGATATAAATAGCTTGCCGCTTCAACGTTGAAGGAGGTGTTCATTCGTGGCTCAGTGGCTAACGCCACGCCTTCACAAGCAAGAAGTCCTGCGTTCAATTCCGCGCACCGGAGTCTTCTTGTAGATTATATTTTTTGTTCTTGGATGTTCATATACGTCGATACGTACATATATACGGTGAATGACGGCGGACGTCGACGGCGGCAAAACCAGCCGAGATTGTCCATATAATCGCTATCACAATAAAGGAGTAACATAACTCTTCAAGCTCTTACGTCATCCTTTGCTCATAGATCAACAGAAGACGGGCATGTAATGTGCTTCAGTGGAAACAGAGCTAAGCTTCTCCCCCTCTAAAAAAATCAAACGACTGGCTTCGAGTCATCCGCCTTCCACCAGTCCTCTTTTTTGCACGCAGTCTGAACCTCGCTCAGAGTACGAAAACGCCAGAACGTCTTACTGAAAGATTTTATCTGACTCAACTAATCTTCGGATGTCATGCAAACCTCCCCCCACCCCCCCCCCCCCCGCTGAGAAAATAAAAAAAACACTCACACAACACGCAGTTTCTTCATATTCTCGAACAAATCCTTCCCCAACGTCGTCAGGTTGTTCCGGTTAAGCGTCCTGAAACGAGAACGAAGTACATGTTTATCGATAGCAAACATCGTACGATGAGAAAACTTTTAACTTAGCACACACACACACACACACACACACACACACAACACACACACACACACACACACACAACACACCACACACACACATATATATATATATATATATATATATATATATATATATATATATAATATATATATATATATATATATATAATATATATATATCATAGTAGTGGGTAAGATGGGCTACTATAGAACGCACAATGGAATATGATATTACTTTTGTTGCAATAAAACGCTGAGTGCCATCACATAAGGTTATATCGATTAGACACATTCACAAATAGTTCTTCATAGGTGGCGCCTGAAAGGGATAATTCAACTAAAACAAGCAACACGTTTCTTTCGCTAAGTAGCCAGCTCGTAACCAATGGCGATAGTGTTACATTTTTACTTTCATTGTTTTTTCAAGCAAGTCTGTTTTCTCACGCCAATAAGCTAAACGAAGTAAGCTAGCGAACTGGCAGTAAAAAAGCGAGAGTGGCGGGGTTTTACTTACACCGTGGTATCCGCTGCCACGATGGAATTTATGGGCGCGGCCTTTTTCCCTTTATCTCGTCGATCGTGCCTCACAAGCATCCTCACCAAAACAGCATATATCTAGTACCGTGAGCATGACAAGACGTGAATGCAGCTCGAAACACCACTGACAAGCACTTCGGTAACACCACTTCGTTAGCCGAGGAAATAAAAAAAAGAACAATGTGCCTACGCCTGTGAGCACTCGGTTTCACAAGGCCACTGAATATCAAGAGACATTATAGGTTTCCAAAAGCAGCAATCACTATGATGCGCCCAAAAATAGGCGAGAAACAAAGACAAACAGCAGAGGGACAGCCAGACCGAGGAACACATAGAAAGAGAAAGAAACAGGCACGAACAGATAGACGAAATAAAGACCAAGGCAGAAAAAAATGAAAAGAGGGAAACAAAATTAGAAAGAGGGAGACAGAGATATGGAAAGTATTAGAAATAACTAAAACATACACAAAAATAAATAAATAGCAGAGGAAGAAAGAGGGAAACAAAACAAAGCTAGAAAAGGGGAGACAGAGACAAGGAAAGCCTTAAACAGACTCAAAAAGAGATGAAAAACAGATAGAAAGAGAAAGAGAAGGAAAAAAAAGGTAGAAAAAGGGAGACATAGGGAAAGCCTTAGAAAGAACGAAACAGACACAGGAAGAGATAAAAGAAACAGAAAGAAAGAAAGAAAGAAAGAAAAAAAGAAAGAAAGAAAGAAAGAAAGAAAGAAAGAAAGAAAGAAAGAAAGAAAGAAAGAAAGAAAGAAAGAAAGAAAGAAAGAAAGAAAAGTGGGAAGCTGCCATAATTTCGTTGCCGCCAAGCACCAAGTAGTCTTTGTAGACACAATATATAGTTTATGATTTGCGGTATCACAAGGACTTCTAAGCGCCAGCACTTCAAGGGATTGCGTCGCTAGAATTCCGCACGCTCACATTTAGTACTTCATTCGTTTAGGTTGACGACAAACGATGTATTCGAACTAAAAAGTGGCATTGAAATGATTTTGGCGGATGGACGCAGACCTGGCGCCATAACGTCATTCGCATGCACTCAGTTATTCACAAGCACAGTCCACTGACGAGAGGGCGCTATACGTCGCTCTCAGTGGCCGTCGCATGCATGGTCGCTGCCATTTGCTGTTTGGCGCGTGCCCTCTTCTAGCCCCGCCACAGTACTCCCAATTATGCCGGGGGGGGGGGGGGGGGTAGACGCGCGCAACATGTTCGCATTTATGCGAGCACGCGTCAATTATGCTCGTTTTACCCGCTAAGCTACGTGATCTGGCGCTGCAGTCACACTGGGAAGCTCGACCGCCGCCACCTATCCCGGATGGCGAAGGGCTTATGTATATAGTGTAGGCATACACGTACAAGCATTGGATATTACTCTTAGACAACAGAATAAGTTGCCGTCTCAGCACGCGCACGACTTTCGCGCACATGCGAACGCGCCACGTTTAGCAGATGACGCAGGGAGCCATCCACACTATATGATCTCGTCCGCTGGCTGCTAGGAGTTGACTCTGCTCGATCTCGACGGTGGCAGACCTAATCTAGAGTTACTGTATACGATCCTTAGCAGAGTTGCGCATAGATCCACCCACGGTCCAACATTACGTTCAATGGCTGTGCAGTGAATCCACTCGTCGCACGCTGGGGGACAAATACGGTGCGATTTTCTAAAACAGGAGAGAGACTCATTCTACGCTTGAGTGTGCAAATAATTGGGGCAAGTTGGCGGTTCATTATACTATAACAACAGCGCAAGAAGGGATAGGAAGGAACACCGTTCAGGCTCTCGCCGCTGCATGAATGCGAGCTTGGGCTCCGCATCAACTAAATCTATAAACAGCTCGGCTATATATATTCAACAACAGCTATAGCTGTTGCCCTTTCTATAGCGGAGCTTTTTCTTGCGCACGATGCACCATTCTACAATTAACACATCAGACTCGATCCCTTAGAAGTAGGAAAACTAAATGGAGTCGCAGAAGTCCGGACCCGTCCCACACTGTGGCACTTGCCGTCATATACGTTTCATATAAGGAGTGCTGTGGTAGTGGTCACCTACTTATTCAGCCGTCAAGATATTCAAACGGTCATCGAAACCAAGCCCCCCTATACCTAAAAACGCGCATAGTCGGCAACCTACCCAGTCTCACCGTCGTCGAGTGGTCGGCACGGCACGCTCACCTGTTCAAACGAAGAGTTCCTATTTCTGAGATGCGATTGAGCACGACCTGTTAAAAAGGAAACGACTGTCTTCGCTCCACACTCAGCGACGGAGATATTCCGTACTTCGGAGAATACAATCCCGATGTATCGCAACGCGGCGCACACAATGTCCAGACAACTGCGACGCCATTTTTACGTTTCCCCTCTAAAGGTGTCATTGCGCGTGAATTCCCTATACTTACTCTGAGACACGATCCCGTCCAATCTGTTCGCTGTAGAACAGTGCATACTGTGAAGAAAGGGATCTGACTCCTGCAACACGCAGGGGCCCTTAAATAAACTTTTCGGCCCTGGTGTACTATAAAAAAGACACGAAAAAATTTTGCTGCCAATTGTGACAGAATCAACTCAGAAATTCAAAAAGTTCTCTGAGGTATTCTCAACACAACTGCGAAAACATAGGCAGTAGCTTTTTCGTAATCGTCTTCTTCGAAAATCGGCAAAGAGGAAATCGAGATGGAGGAGGGTGAAAAAGACGACCCTTGCCGCAACTGCCGTTTGCACTAACTATTATAATGAGAGCTCTTACATTTTTTCGTGTTGTTACTAAGGTGTTCAACTACCTACTCACAAAGCGGATATTCCCTAAGATTAACACGTCACCCGCAGGAATGGACAATCTGCGTGTCCTAAATAAAGGACATCAGGGCTCAGTAGTTGTCAGAGTTCTGAATGCATTCATGCAAATCCGGAGCTGTAGCTCTGGTGAAAGCACCCACTTTCTTGTTATTCTAGTCGCGAAACCTGCCAAGACCTCTAGTCAATAGGTATGGTGTCTACAATAGCGAAATAGTAAGCATTGAATTTGATACGTATTCATTGGATGGATAGTACGTATTGATTGGATGAATAAATAGAAAGATGGATAGATACGATCAAACTCGCCGAAGTTCCCTAAGAAATGCTTCGCATTAAAAAAGAACAGAAAAATGAGATACGCACTACACATGGCTATGTCGTTCCGAGCATTCCAATAGACCATCTACATATCGTATATATTCTCCTAAAATAGCGAAATCCAAGGTGGCGCATGGGATCCGTGCTTTTTCCTCTGCTGCCTCGACCACTCACCTAGAGATTATTATTTCTATGCTGTTTTGTTTTTTTGTGTGTGTGTGTGCGTGTGTGTGTGTGCGTGTGCGTGCGTGCGTGTGCGTGTGCGTGCGTGCGTGTGCGTGTGCGTGTGTGCGTGTGCATATGTGTGTGTGTGTGTGTGTGTGCGTGCGTGCGTGCGTGCCTTCTTGTGTCCTCGTTTTTAGTGCGCTTTTACCATTCTTCTGAGTGCACGCTTTTACCGTTCTTCTGTGTTCTTCTTTTACCGATCTGTGCGTGTGTGTGTGCGCGCGCCAAAAGCAAGGGGTGCTTCAAGTCCCCCTTACGTTTCGTTTACAGTCCTTTACACACCCGCGTTATGTTTGACGCCACTAATCACATCCATGTTTCACGAACCGGTAGGTACTGGTAATCATTGCAAGCATTCAGGATAGCTTCGCTCTTGGTGCATTGTATTATATTTTCTATCTCTCTCTTTTTGCCCTACCGTCAGCTGACGGGAGCGCGTCAGCGACGGCAACACAAAGGCGTCGCCCTGTGCGGCGCCGCTATGCAGGGTCGTCGTCGTGCACAGTTGAGCACGTGCCGGCGGGCTATTCCCGTCACAATGGGCGCCGCTCACAGGCATCACACCCAAACACCGCCACGTGACGCCTCCCCCCTCCCATCCCGGCTTTTTTTTTTTCATTAATCCGCTTCATCTCTGTCTACATTCCGTTCGCTTTGTAGACACATTGGTGAGCGAGTGTTTTAATAGGGCGACAGAAATATATGTGCCATTAACAGTACGGTAATGATGACTTCATTTACGTGAAGTTTATGCCTAGATGACAAAAACAGAGCAGTGCACGATACGAAATGTAGGAATACAAAGCGCTAAAACTGACACGGCAAACGGATTTCTCGGTCCGGTAGCTTGTAATGCGATTGAATATTTGTAACTTAGAAGTGTGGCATCTTGGGCTAGTTGGTATGGCATGACGATAGTTATAGCTTGAGAACAGAACGACGACACAGAGACAAGAAGGACACGAAGGACACGAGCGCTCGTGTCCTTCGTGTCCTTTTTGTCTCTGTGTCCTCGTTCTGTTCTCGCGCTATAACTATCGTCATGAATATTTGTTCTGAGTTT